TAGACTGAAGAACAAAAGAACAGCAACTTGTCTGTTCCCCTTCCCCCAATTCCCCAGCACTGTTCCCATCCCCCCAATTCCCCAATAAATATCTTTTAAAAAAAAAGTCAACTAGGTAAATTTTCAGAAGCTTTCAATCTCCCTTGGCCAAAAACTCTCCTTATAGTGCTTCTCAACCTGAGATATACTCCTTTTGGTAAGCACAGGCTTTCTCCTCATTAGTCATTGCTCACTCTATATGAAGGGACATATAGACCAATCTTATTAAAAGAAAACATTGTACATTGTCAAGGATTTATCAATTATCTTTTAAAAATTAATAAATTAGTAACCGATTCACTTCAGTGTGTTCCCAGGAAACGAAGACTTAAAAGACCAAGACTCACAACCAGGAAATTTTGTCCATTGGACAAGATATCCATGAGAGACTTTCCAACCTTGTCAGAAGGGACCTATCAGTGGATATCAAAGACTCCTCAAGGATGAGAAGCTGCAGGCATCAGGGTTAGACAGCTATCCCAAGACATCAAGAAGGCCCGTATACCTACATAATTGATATTGAACTTGAAATAACAATTTTTTATTGTCTTTACCTGTTTGCCAATAATAATACTTGTTCTTTAGGCTTTTCTGAAACCTTGTACTTATATAGCCCAACTATTAATAATTACTAAAGACATATAACTTCTTCATTATCAGTATTTTTTTTATGGCTTTGAAATTTAAAAGGCATGTTATTGTAGGGAAAAAAAGGGATGTGTGTATATTTTGAGTGACGTTAAAAGGAAGTCGTTTGTCCTAGTAAGTTGGTTATTTCTGAATGAGGAAAAGAAGACAAACTGAAAAGATGAGTAAAATAGTAAAAGGTTAGTGAAAAAAAATATTGAAAAAGGAATTTTATATATAAATATTAAAACCCAATTATACTTACCCCTTAACTCAACAAAGACTACTAACTATATTAATTCAGATAAAAACTGAAGTGGATATATATATATATATATATATATATATATATTTAAAATAGTCCACTATAATGGCTACTAAGACACACAAAATTTATTTATGAAACTCTTACTGTCGTGGCCTGTAGAAATTTTTAGGTAGTAATTGTAATTTACACCATTATGTTCTTACAGCTTTATTCAACCTTACAGTTCCCAGTTATATAACTTACAGAAATCAGATAAATGAATGACACTTGAGTGTTTCCAAAATAGATAGGCCATATTAAACTGAAAAGGTAAATTGTTATGTGCCCAATCTATATGGAATTCTGAATTCACCCAATCCTGGCCTATCATATCCACCTGAACAAACAAATATATGGTATATGAAAAGAGGACTTCTTTTCATAATTCTTCTGTCATACTGATTTCTATTGTAATGACACCAGGTTTACAGTAAATACTGTAAAAATATGATGTAATACTAAAATCATAGACAAATTAACCTTACCTGATTTTAATAAAACCCATGATAACATTGATACTGAAAACCCAATGTATTGGGAAATTGAACTTAATCCTTCCCATGAAGTCACTTCTATGGAAACTAATTGGCCAAAAAAACCCCAAAAAACTTCTAGATCATAAAATAATAGCAAATCTTCATTCATCTGGCCAAACTTATCATAAGGTACACATAACAGATGAAGGAAGGAAACATATTAACTTAATAAAAAATTATGATAATACATGTAAAGCATTCTTTAGTTGGCTAAGATGTTTGTTCCCCTCAGACTCATACTTGTCTAATAGGCATTTTCTGCTCCTAATAGGTTTAATACTATTATTCTTGGTCCTAGCTTGTACATGTTATACTAGATACAAAAAAACAACATAGGACAGAAAGAAAACTCGGATCATGATAGCTCAAAGAGTAAAAACAATCCAGAAATTTAATGAAGACATATAGGAACCGACCTCCTCCCATGTGTCACATTTTCTTTTAAATATAAATAATTCGGCCTTTACTGCCATCTAAAGTTATAGTCTTGCCCCCCCCCCCCCAGCCTCCAACATTCAACAAGATAAATGCTGACACTAAGACTTCCTAGGAACTACCTTCCTAATGCAGTGGGACCACACTATCCAATCGAAAGGTTGGTCATCAATACATCCTTCAGATTTATGACCAAAAGGGGCAAATGTGGACGGAAAAGGGGCCACATGTTAAACCTGACAAGCTCAGGAGACTGAAAATAACCACAGAGGATGGCATGAACATAAAAATTCCTAACTAAGGTGGGTCATGGTGCGAAGTCACATCCTTGGCCTGTAGTTTCCTTGACAAAGGTCCATCTTTACCTTAAGCCTGTCATCTTTTTTGCACCTAACACAACATACCCTTGCAATATCAGAGTAATCCCTTTTTCCAGACTCCCAGGGGACACAACCCACCATACCAGAGCAGGAATCTACAAAATCTCTCATTGTTATCTTGCTCCCCAAATACTATCTCTATATGCTGTAAAATGCTGTTAACTATCCTGTACACACCAATGTAAAGTCTCTCCATTTTGCTTTTTATCCAATCCCAGAGATTTCCCCACTTTGCTTTCTCCCACCCCCTTAATCCACAATGAATGGATTTCATGTAACCTTCCTTCTTTGATTCTAATGCATAAAATAAGTAACAAAATGGCCATTTTCTGGAGCATTTTCTCAATCCATTGAGACTGTTTCTCGACAATTGTCGTCAGTTTGGCTCAAATAAACTCTTCTAAGCTTTCTCTTAGGCTGGATATTTTTTGTCGACAGGTGGTAGGACCATTTTTGCGTAAAATCATGTGGGATTAGTATCCTATGAATGCACGACCATTTTTGTGTAAAATCATGTGGGATTAGTGTCCTATGAATGCACTTACAGAAACACTTGTTTTAGATCAGCAAATGGAAATAAGAGGATAAGACTCTGACACCAAGTCTGATGTGTGGTTTTTTTCCCCCCATACCACTAAGCAATTTTCTGACACCAGCTGAGTGTCCCACAATTCAACTCAATTCTGACAGGATCTACCCAGAGTAACATCAGATCCCACAGGATAAGGACTGTCACAAGACTACCACCCCACCCCACTCCCACCCCCCACCTACAACTTCAGACACCAATCACAAGTCCAGGTTGTCACCTGTGCTTCTGACCAACCAGTTATAGTGTGGAGGTTCCAATGACACCCCCACCCCCGCCTCCTTGGATTCAATTAATTTACTAGAGTGGCTAACAGAGTTCAGAGAAATATTTTACTTACTAGATTACCAGTTTATTATAAAAAGATGTAAGTCAGGAAGAGATGCATAGGGGGAGGTGTGGGGGAAAGTCCATAGAGCTTCCATGCTTCTCGAATCTCCGCATGTTTGCCAACCCTGCTCTCCAAACCCTGTCCTTTTTGTTTTTTATAGAGGCTTCATTACACAGACATGATTGATCAAATCATTGGTCACTGGTGATTTCAGTCAACCTTCAGCACCTTTCCCCTCCTCAGAGGTCTAGGGGGTGGGACTGGAAGTTCTAACCTGCTAATCACATGGCTGGGTTCCTTGGCAACGAGCCCCCATCCTAGGTGCAGCCCAAGTCATATCATTAACTCAACAAAAGACCTCTTTCTCACTCTCATCACTTAGGAAATTCCAAGGGTTTTAGAAAATACAGAGGGTGCCAAAATAATGTATACACATTTTAAGAAAGGAAAAAACTGTGTTAAAATTATGCTGATGGTAACCACTTTGAGCACCTCTTGTAATTGCAGAAGTCAAACGTGACTCAAGGGGCCAGCCAAGTGGGTCAGTTGGTTAAGAGCTCACTCAAGAGTGTGAGCTCTGAGCAACAGCAGTTTGATGCCCGGCCTAAGCTGAGCTGCCAACAGGTGGCAGGATGGCTCAGCTAAAAAAAAATCGTGACTTGTATTCATCTTTTGTTATCGGTATATATTATTACAATTTTAATATTTTGCTTTCTTAAAATGTGTATTTTTTGGCACTCTCTGTATATATTTCTTCTATTAATTATAACAGCACAGAGGATGTAGTTGGAAAAAAAACCTATTTACTACATAGGTACTTAAAAAAATACATAAATGTCAGAAAGTAAAGCTTGAGAAAGTCTTGGCTAAGAATTTAAAATGAGAAAAGATGACTTAAAGAAAGTCGACAAATACTATCTTTGATAAAGACAAAACATGTTTATTTATAGTTGAAGAATATTTATGATCAAATAATTATCTTCAACAGGTCATATATAAGGTTCCAAACTAAGAATATTATTAAAATCATGCCAATCTTATAAAATATAATGTATTTATTTTGAAGTAGAATACACTAGACAAATCAATAATTTAGTTTAACTAGAAATTATAATGTACAATATATTAAATGAAAATGCCATATTGAAATTTTGTGTAAGACATTTTATGATTGATTATTCTGATAGTTATAGCCACAGTTTATGCAGTTTTTCTCCTAGTCTAGTGATTAATTCTTGACACCTCATTCTGTGATAAAGACATTATTGCAGACAGCCTTAATGGAATAAATTCATTCAACAAAGCCGATTATGTGTTCTATAAAGTGAATTACATTGTCTCATTGAGTGGGCCAAGTGTGTTTTCAAATAGGAGGAAGAATGGGCCACCTAAGTCACAGAGCACTGCTGAGCAGGGAGGCCGCATTCCACTGTGCTCTCCTTTAGCACTTGCTAAAGGACTTCAGGTCTTGGCCATGCCCAGGAGACCGTCTTCTTATGTCCTCCATCCTCTTCAACATGGCCAATGGCTATGGCTGAGAGTCCTTCTGCAGATTTCTCCAAATGATCCACCATTTACCCCCAGAGGATCTCAAGCTCCAAAGTCCTGAATATCCAAAGCCTTTCATCCATGACACACAGGAAACGGTTTCCCCATGTTAACTTCTGTAGGTTGAATTTATTCTGAAAGGGGCCTCTCTGAAGTTTAAAACAGTGAAATTTCCTGTGTTGTGCTACAGAAACAAAAAACTTGAAAAGATTTATCCTTGGAGACCCACTAACTTGCAACTTTAGGATCCTGAGAGAAGATAAGTATTGTTGTAAGTGCAGTACTTTTATTTAATTTTAAAAACACCAGTTAGGTTTTATAAGATGCAGAATTCTACAACTGCTACATCACAAGAATGACAGATGACACTTGAATGAAATTGGCAACTGTCTTTCAGGAAGTCCTCTGATTTACAAGATGCTTTGAGTGCTGTAAGTCACCATGAGCCTTTGTAGACAGGGACAAAAGGCTGACACAAACCAAACACAATGGAGATGAAAGGAAGCCAGATGGCACATTTGACAGGAGAGCCAACTCCTGGAGGTCAGGTCCTCATGTCCCAAGAGATGAGGGACAGGAATCCTCTGCTTCCACAGCTGCAGTGCCTTGAAGCTCAAGGGGAGCTGGGGAAATCCAGCCTCATCTCTCTGGACTGCAGAGGGTTGCTAGTAACCCTGGGCAGTGCTGAGCTTTCAAAAGTCTCCAGAGGGATGGCGGCAGCAGTGGGGACAGGGGAGGGTGTCTCATACCCAATGAACTATAGTAAGGAAGTCACCGAGCAGGCTCTGAGACTCCTTTCCATCTCCCAGGGCATGAGGGTTTAGCTTGTGACCTTCTCCTCCCCTAGCCCAAAGCTCTGAAATCTGGGTCACACAATCGAGGACAGATTCTCTGAGTATCTTCACTATTGGGTAATGTTAGGATTTGGCTGAAATGGCAAGTTTTATTAATGCTGCATGACAGTGACTTTTAAGGTTAATTATGGTGCATATTTTCTTACTATTTTTGGTGGACATTAAAATCACTGGTTCCTTAACTATTTAACAGAGGATTAATTCAGCAGAGGCAATTAGGAGGTTGAACAGGATCATTCTTCAGTAGTATCCTGCCTGGAGAGGAGAAAGGGATCTAGGTTACTCTGCTAGTTTAAACACCCATCCAACCAGCCCTGAAACATGAGCTGAGGATCGGGACTCTAACAAACATGTCTTTCTGTAGAGACCCGAAAAAGCACTGCGTATAAAATGCCCGTGTATCCTTAAGAAGTCTAAGTGTGGTTTGAGCTGTGGAAAAAAGATTATGCCCAACCCCCCAGAACAACAGTAACAAGACAGGCAGTGATGGGGGTTGTAATCTGTCCCGTATCAATGGGAAAATATTAGAGACAGGAGCTGAAAATGCTCATTTATTGTCCTCACATTGTGAGTAGGAAGCTGAAGTATCCACATGAAATCTGAAAACCGAGAAATAGTTTCAGACTACTAAAAATTCCAAAGTAATACTGAATTGAATCCATACCTACTGAGGCTGAAGAAGCACTGCCACCACACCTCACAGTTCAAGAGTCATATTTAATTTTCTAAGGCCTAATGACATTTATCAATTTTAACTTTTTAAATATGTGATCCTTTTAAAACCCATACCCCCTACAATGCTTTCTGTAGCTTATATTAAGTTTTATTGGACCTTTACTTGTGTTTGTGTGTGTGTGTGTGTGTGTGTGTGTGTGTATAAATGTATATAGAAAATTGCCCTCTAATGAGATTCTGACATGCTCCTTTTAAGACTGATAATAACTGCTTTCAATTTCCTACTTAAAAATGTTTCCAATCCATTCTCATTCTAGCAAAGTGAATTAATAAAATCGCATCCACACATAAACAAAATACCTAGTGCAGAAAAACAATTTCAGAAAAACATTTGCAGTTACAACAAAGATTCCTCAAGTAAATGTCCAATATGGGCTCAGTAATTTAATTAAAATAAAAGATGATCTGATTAAAAAAGAAAAAAGGATAAAAGCTCAGAGAGAAGAGCAGAGAAACAGCAAAGAGGAAAACAAAATCTTTACCTAGTCTCATGCTGAATCCAAAACACCTGAACAACTAACACAGCAATGAGAACTGAGACAGAGCTGAAAGGGACCTGGAAACTCACTGACACCTCCTCCCTCACTCTACACATGAGCAGGCTGAGGCCTAAGGATGGGCTCAGAAAAGGCCTTGCCCAAAGTCATAAGTAAGTTGATCTCAGAGCCAGAAACCAAAGCCACATCTGCTTGTTCCCAGCTAAATGTTTTTCGACACTGCTGCTTCTCTATACCCTAACAGGAGAAAGGCTGGTCTGCCAAACCCTTTGGGGAACTTTGGGAAGAGGCTACCTGGCCTGTTGCAGCCTATCTGCTATGGTGCACTGTCCTACGGCAAGCCTGGGTGGCACAGTCAGCCTGGGCCTCCAAATCTTCTGGAAGGTTAAGGAATTCCATCCCAACCAAGATGCCTATCAGGCTGGTGACTGATGTCTCACACAAAGAGCAAGACAGGTCGAAAAGGACCAGAGACCCAGTGCCCCTCATGCCTCAGAAGATGCGGAAGAACAGACTATAAAGCCCCTACACCACACACCATGTTTTACTCTTTTTTTTTTTTTTTTAAGCTGAGCCATCCTGCCACCTGTTGGCAACTCAGCGGCTGCTCAGTTTGGGCCAGGAATCGAACCGCTGTTGTTCAGAGCTCACACTCTTGAAGCGAGCTCTTAACCAACTGAGCCACTCAGCCAGCCCCGCACACCATGTTTTGATTCACTGTTTTCTGCCATGAAAAAGTCCCATTTTTAAAAACCAAAACAACTCCAAACAAAAAGTGACTCAGATTTTTAAAGGTTATTCTCAAATTATGAAACAAAGAGTTCAGTGTCTAAATGGTGACTGTCGGTCTGAACTGGTTGGCTGGCACTTCCTCTGGGAGAGCTGAGTCGACAGGAGCAGAAGGAGGAGCACAACACGTGACCATCCTTTCTGTACAAATGGTGTGTGCTTCACACAGACCTAGCTAAGCCATTATCTCTCCACATTTTCTTAACATTCCAGCAACCAACCCTTACTCTTTTACAATTGTGGAAAAGTTAAGTTTTAACACTGTGATAGTCCGTGCCAAGGTCCAAAATGTCTAGAGACAAATAAGTTAAACCTTTTTTTCAATAACCCCTAAGCCACTAGCTGTAAAAAACAAACAACTAAAAGAACACATACCCCAATGTGGCCCACTTTACACAGAGAAAGAAAACGAGGAGTTCCTACCTCTCTCTTAACAGACAGAGCTGGGTTCTGAAATCTGCTGCTCATCACTGCTTACTGGACAACGCAGTCTGAACTGCCAGAAAAATCAACAGCGCCTTTCTCCTCAGCGCAGCTTGGTATTTCTGAGAAAACCCAAGTGATTTCAAATGCAGTTGGCATCCCCAATTCCACCAAAGCCGTGCATACTATAAGATGAGCCAGCCCCCTTTCAAATGTTAAGAACAGATATAAACACTGCTATTATATTTCCATACAAGCATGTGAATCCTGCCTTTCTTCTAAGCCTATTCTTCATGGATGTTGTCAATCTTTATGCATCTCCTCAGTTAGCTGGCTGAGAGCTCCAAGAACACAAATACCTTTCCCCATTCCATCCTCACTCTCATTCTCTTGGATTTTCTTCTTCATCCCAAGGATACACATAGTGTCTTGGGAAGCCGGCTGTCACAGGGCCTCTTAGGAAGCCCGTATCTATAACTTATCACCAAAGATAAACTTTATGTGGTAGTCAGCTTTGGAGGAACGCATTCAAACTTCCATCTCCAAAGCTGCTTCACCACCATCGTTCACCACAGAATTCTCTCCTCCATCTCCATGGCATGCTGCTTTCATGCACCGAGAAAAAAACTGAAACCGAGACATCAAGAGCAAAAGGATCAGAGGGTTAGACAGCTCAGAATTCTACAAGGCAGTTCTATAGTGTTTCAAACGCTTAGACCAGAGGTCAGGAACTTTACCTGTTAACAATTTAGGCTCTGCAACCATAAGGCTTTGTTGCAACCACTCAGCACAAAAGCAGCAGAGATGCTAAGTAAGTGGCAGGGTGTGGGGTGGGG